TTAATTCATGGCATAAATTGGCGTTAATTTTGGGTTCAATTGAATGACAAATGGATTTACATTTCAATTTCAAATTCATCAAATAATTATCACTTGTTTTCACCCCTAATATGTGTCACGTTTGTTGCGAACCATTAGCCACCGGTGTTTACATTGTAATCATTAGGTGTAAGAATGGGCGTTGTTTTAGTAAAATGACCTTGGTCATATTAAATTTAAATTAATTTGTATATACCTGAACATATATTAGGATTGGTGTTTGATTAGTTAATTATAAAATGTCATTTTAGTAATATAAGGGGTACTGAAATCATTGTAATAGTGAGTTTGAATGGACCACAAAATAGACAACTCACAATCAATTTGCAAATTCTAAGCTTAGAAGTATAATCTGTTACGAGAAAAACATATTTTATTCCCCCTTTTTGACATCTACAGTAATGTACGCACAGTAATTGTATAAAAATTAAGCCCCCTATCACTCTAACTTCAAATATAAGTCACACAATATTTGAACATTAGTTTAAAGGAAAATAATTGTGAAATTGTATTGATTTTTGTCGTCAAAAGTGAATCGCTTTTAAAAAATCGTTAATTAATTGAGTTTTGGTTTGTTTTGTCGTATCGTTTGACAATCACTTGAGACACTCACCCGTGGTTTGCGTTGAAGACAATTGTCTGCACGTCTTGTGTCCCAAAATGTCGACCGAATTGGAGGACAACAATGTCTTGAAGTTATCCAAAACTGGTTTGTTTTACAAGAGTTTTACAAATGAATGCCAATAATAATGATTAAAACGTGTGTTGGATGTGATTGCTTACCACAGAAGCCAAAGAACTGCTCCAGAAGTGGAGGGAAGAGAACGCCCGACACTCGGAACAAGTGAGGGATATCTGGATGAACATCGACTTCGGTGGTAGTCTCGGAGACGAGAGTAAGTGCAGCAACAGATCCCTGTGTAAGCAATGGTCTCATTATCTGTTGATTACTCGCCAAAGAGTGGCAGGTCTTGGAACAGGTGTGCGTCGCCGCCATCGACCTCCACGACAACGAACTCATCAAAGAATGTCTGCAGCAGTTAGACAACAAGTTCCCCAACAGTTGTCGCGTCAAACGGCTGAAGATTATGGCGAAACTGGAGTTAAGAGAGCGCTTCGAAGACGCCCTCCAGATGTACGACCAGATGATCGCGAAAGACGAGTCCAATTCCCTTCTATACAAACGCAAGATTGCGATCCTTTTGGCCGAACGCCGGGTCGCCGAAGCGATCAAAGAGCTGTGCGATTACCTCAAGAAGTTTATGAACGACACGGAGGCGTGGCTCCAGTTGTCGGACCTCTATATCGAGGAACAGGAGTACAGCAGAGCGGCCTTCTGTGTGGAAGAGCTCATCCTCGCGAACCCACACAACCACTTATACCACGAAAGGTATGCCGCCATTCAGTACACCATTAATACGGCGGAGAGTCTGGAGCTGTCGCGGAGCTACTTCTCACAGGCACTGCGACTCAACCCAAACAACTTGCGAGCCCTCTATGGCCTCCTATTGTCGGCCAATAGTGTGGCCGCTCTTCCGAAGACCACTTCCCAGAAGAAGAGAGAGAACCTCCGGTTAGCCAACTGGGCGTCCACTCAGATCCAGAAGCTCTACAGAGAGGGCTCGGACGATGAGAGTCGTATCAACGCTATGGAGGGAATGTTAGCCAACTTACAGATCACTCCAAACAGCACTTAATTACCATTAAAGTAGAGTTTAGTATAGGTTTTAGTATTGTTTTGCTTTTTTAAATATAAATATAATTTTCTATTTAATTGTATTTTTGTGAATCATTAATGAATTTATTATGAGTTCGTTGAACACAACTGTCGGACATTTGTGTGTATTCTTTGAATTTTTCCACTGATATTAAAATACGAGACATATATGAAGACAACTGTTGTTCACTCATTGATATCACTCGAAGACACGGATGGCATTCGCTTCTTATGTCGAAATTAGTGTTGCTTTTGTCGAACGGAATCCAAAACACGAGACGTCCGCCGACTTTCAGATGAAAAGCACTGAAATCGAGTAAATCGCGGAAAATATCACATAAACTGTACTCGACTTTCGATGGAATGTGTCCTTCGACTAACTCTTCGGGTATTTTGTATTGTCTTTGAGAGCCCACTCTCTCGCGAGACTCGCGTTTGCCATACGGAGGGTCTGTGATAATGGCGTCCAATTTGAGGGTCGGTGCGGATGTGCGCCAAAAGGGTTGAGAGGAGTCGGCGATCACGACATCGATGTATTGGTTCTGAAGGTTATATTGTCTCAGATTCGAGAGAACACTCTCATCGGTGTCTCGTGTCTTAACCCCAGCCCTCGAAGGTTTGGTGAGTCCGTGGATCAGTAGATAATCGATGTCCGTTCCCATCACATAAGCGCCGTAATAGGCGGCCGACACTAATAGACTACCGGAGCCGACAAAAGGGTCGAGAACTAAGTCCGCGGCGGAGACCTTAGCTATGTTTGCCATCAACAGCGCTAACATCGGTTCCATAGATGTGTTTGCAATGAATTTCCTGTCTTTTAACGAGAAATTGGAGACATTCTTGCGATTACTGTCACCGATGTGTCGGCCGAAGAGTATCTGAAAGGGTTTGTCGGGAATTTCGTTGGGATTATTGCCGTAGTATTCAAACAAATGAAAGCTATTTTCGGGTGACTTTAAGTCGATTTTGCCGTCAAATGGGAGGAAAGCTATGTTTTCGATCTTTTCGACTTTGGTTTGTGTCGACAGCTTTCGGTTATAGCCCTCCACTTGGATGCGAAACGAAGCGCTCCTGTATTGAGACAACTGAGTGTTGGGAGAGTGGCGTAAGTCGTCGTAAAACTGTTGCAAATCACCCGAATTGGTCCACAACTCGTACAGACTTCGAGCCAACACTGTCCGCGACATCAGACGCTCGAGTTGAGTGTCTGCGGCATCGGATGTGAACAAAATGAATGGCTGTCGAGGAATAAGAGTGGTATCACTATTGAGAAGCGCATCGCAATGGACACAAACCTTATCGGATGGCTCTTCGATGTACTGGTAATCGATGGCCAGAAGTGACGCCAAACTCTCAAACTCCTGAAGACAACAGAGAAAGTGATGAGTCTTTTGGGATAACAAAAAGTAATTCGCGAAACAATTACCGAAACTCTGAAACCATTGTATTGATTGGCAAACCATAGCATATATGCCGTCATTGCTAATGCAGTCAATCAATGCATTCACACCTAAATCGCTGTTAAAATCGGTTTTTAATTACAATTTGACGGCAAAGAAAAGTTTGAGAGAGAAACACATGCTATGAATGGGCCGTTCATACAGTATGTGTTCATAAACACGACAATTGGCGCACGTATTGAATGAGCGCCGCATAGGCTGTCCGTCACATGTACTGCGGTTTACATCCCTTTCCTGTATTACATTTACTGCGAAACCACATTCACTGTCGGATCGCGAGCTATGTATGTCTTAATCATAATTAATGTTAATTTAGTTATAATTTAACTTTTTTTTATTGATAACACTTATTAATAATAAGTTATTATACACTTAATTAGCACTAAATGAATGCATTTTCGTAATTATGATAAATAATGATCTGTTTGTCCATCACTACCACAGTTGACACCATCACCTGATAACGGATTCCTTGTTTTGTCCTTAAACTCAACCGAATCCTTGAATCCACAGCAAAGATGGTCAGGGAGGACAAGACCTCGTGGAAAGCCAACTACTTTCTCAAGTTGACTGTAAGCTACCCGTCCCCTACCCACCCGCCATACAGTCCACTGATCTATGCCTTCCTCCGCAGCAACTTCTGGACGAATACCCGAAATGTTTTATCGTAGGCGTGGATAACGTGGGGTCAAAGCAGATGCAACAGATCCGCC